CGCTATTTTTCTTTCTTTTTATATATATATATATATATATAAAAATGTTGGTGGGAAAGGATGTTGGAGAGCATGACCAGCTCCTAGTTCCCAAAACTTAGCAACACCGTGTTTGTTACTGACAGCAGAGCTGCAGGGATGTGATTTTTAGAGAAAGCCATGTAATGAATAACTTAATACATCAATGGCATGACTTAATCAATTGTTATCCTCTTCATGCTGCCATTCAGCACACTGCAGCTTTACGATGCCATGGAACATGATCAAACTGAGCCTCCCAAAAAGCTGTATTTAACAGCATCCGCATCTAGCGCAGACCAAAAAGGCTTTTGCACACATGAAATGTTGTCTTTTGTGACTTCTAAAACTCAGAGTGTGATACTCAAAACACCTTGGCACACTCGTTTTTCCCGCCTCTGGTCGTCCCTCATTTTAGAGTGACCCCCATCTCCCCTCAGTGCAACAATTGCATGTTACAAGATCAGTTTCAGAGATACAGTAAGGAAATGTCTCCCCGTTTGCTTTCTGTGCCTCTGTGTTTCTGCGAAGCCACCTCCGCACAACACCCCCACACACATGGCCAGAGATGGATGGAGACAGAACGACAGCTCGATAGCTTTGTGTGAGCCAAACAATGCAGAGACACACTGTTGTGTCCTTGGGTGAAAACGCAGAGCGGCTCTTGACAGGGCAAAATCCTGATATGGCTATGTCCCCTATTGTTCAAGTTAATTGATTTGAACTCTGTTGAATGGTGAGAGGGAGAATCAGTCAGGGCTATTGGGTTCCCTTTTTCTCCCACAGACCCATGGAGCAGTTTATCAACAATCGAAATCGAGCTTGCAGACGTCTCTCTGCGCTTCGGCTTGATGCGTCCTTTCTTCCCGTCTCAATCCAACAACAGGAAAAGGGGGGAAAATGTCTGACCTCCGGGTTTCATTTCACCCAGCCAGGAGAAAATCCTCAACACACACTTTGCTACAGTAACACTCAGCGATGTTCGGAGGTGATTGGTGGCGTGAATGCTGGACGCGGCAGAGCAGTTTTTATTTTGCACACATTCACTGCAACTGTAGTCCTAGCAACAGTCCTGCATTTAAAAACGGGCTTAAAAAAAACGCAGGGAGGAAACTTTCTCTGCGTACAAGCTTTAGAAATCTTCAAAAACGAATGTGGAGTATGCGGTCCGGTTGTGATAGATCACACAAATACAAATGCAGTGTGTCCAATCAATGCCTGTGTGGCAACGCAGGGCAGCGTGAGGATAACTAACCTGCCCTTTGGCTGTAATTCCTCTCGCACAATCAATTTGGTGTCATCGGACAGCAGAGGACCCGAGTGTGTATGTGTGTATGGGCATGTGAAAAATCAAGAGCTATTTCCACACAAGTGCATCCACTCAACTGACATAGTCACAGGCTAAAGGCAACGTAACAGAAACCCACCGAGCACATATTGTACAAACAAACAAACAGGGCTCTACCTCCGTTGCCTCATGCAGGTCTATTTTCTATCAACCCATGTCTCACTGCTTTGAAAGAGAAGCTAATCATTAGCAGACTGAGCGAGCGTCTTTAATGACGGATCAAACAGAAGGGCGAGAAATTGTCTGGTCCTCATTAGAGGGCATTTACTAAAACAGGCTTCAAATCAGGCGGAGGCATCTTCACAACTTCAAACACGGAGCATTGACTGGCTCATATGCGGCGGCATGTCCGGTGCTGTACCAGTGTTTGTAAGAGCACACGCAGATCTTGGTGCCGGTTCAACTATGAAAAGGTCAGAGCATAAAAATAAGCCTGTTCTTGTGAAGCCGTCGTTAAATTAGCTGTGAAAAAAAAAAAAAAAAACCGTGTTGGCAGCATAACAAACACTCGTGATCGGCTGCTGTGTGCTGTTTTTCGGGTCGAATGTGATGAAATCCCTTCTCTGGTGATGAACGCATCCGAAGCACCGGGGAGATGAACAGAATGAAATGTGCCGATAATGAGCAGCTCAGCTGGCTACAGCGGTCGTTATGACAACTCAGGCTGACAGCATATTAAGGGAGGATTTTTTTTTTTTGGGGGGGCAAATATAGAATTGTAGCACTTGATTTGGCTATATCTGGGTGCTTCCAAAAGTCCCTGCAGCATGCTAAAAATGTGCTATTGCCAAGTCCATCCTCACCGGAGCAGCAGATAATTACATAATAAAAGTATCGTAGTCATGCGTGAGCTTTGACGAGCCTCACATCATAACTGCAGTTTATTCTCCTCCGGTTTAAACTCCGATACGAAATAAATATAGTCTGGTAAGTTCAGAAAATGACATCGCTTTACTGTAAAGCAGCCATTGAAACCAGGAAAAGACAACGTTTATGCCATATTATGATGTTATGATGTCCAAAATCTAAGACGATATCTACTCTCGATAAATTGCCCAGCCCTGATATAGATGTGCAAGTTAACGTACTGCGGCATTTTAATTTATATTATTCATTAAAGAGGTGGTTCTGTCTATTTAACAGTTAAAGAACATGTACGCAGCCTCATATAAAGGCAGTTACCTAAGAGAGCAGATGATAATAATCTGTTATTGTTAAGAATCTGAAGGGTTTCCTCATCCTACCTCAAACTCGAACTTGGAGCTGCCGAAGTTGGTCCTCTGCTTCTGCCAGAAGTTGTCCGGTTTGATGATGAGGGCGACGTGGATGCAGGACGGGAACGACTCCTGCAGGATCTTCAGCAGAGGCTTGATGGTGTCCCACTTGGAGCCGCGCATATCAACGATGACCGTAAAGCCATGTTTACACACCTCCTCGCTGGGATGGACGGAGGTCGGCGAGAGTGGGAGGAATTAAAGAGAGGGGAGGGAGAGGCAGCGTGAGATTGGAGGGAGTATAATCCAGAGAGAGAGAGAGAGAGAGAGAGAAGGCGTGGGAAAGGATGAGAGAGGGATGGAGAGAAAAAGGGGAGGAAGAAAAGAGAGAAAAGGAATGAGAATAAAAACAAACAGTGAGATGACGCATTTTCTATACTGTGAGAAACCTACGCAGCACACGCACATCCCACACACACACATCCCACACCACACACACACTCACCCACCCACCCACACGCACACAGAAACCTGCGACGAAGGAGTCACAAATGTGTGCAGAAATATAAAAATCAGCACATTTGTGCGTCAGCAAACTCTTCTCGTCGTGGCGCTCTGTTCTGGCCGACATTATTACCACATAACCTCACACACACACACACACACGCACACACACACACACACACGCACACACACACACGCACACACGCAGAGACGAACTACATCTACACACCCGGAACTAAAATCTGCTAATTATGCAACATCGTACAAAAAATAACTTTTACTATTGTGTAGCTTTTCTGCATTGTGCATCGTAGTACTACTACTTATTGTATTTATCAAACCTGGACCTTTTGGTCATTTTGTGCAACATCCCTTCCTTCGTTTCTTTAGACTTCCAGAGCAAAACATCATCTTCATACACTCCGTCCTTTTCCAAACCTCTCCCTTTCCCTCTGTAACAGCCAGGAGACAGCTAGTGTGCAGATGTTGCCTTTCCCAAAATAGAACACCTTTAGTCACCGAAGTAAAATCATACAAAAATATGCAAAACATGACATGATGATGTTGTGGTTACAAATGCATAAAGGACATAAAAATATATAAAAACATAATTTACAGTGAATTTAGTTGCCTTGTAAACCACACAGATATACCGTGGTGACTTAAATTGAGAGGAGAGCAGACGGAGAGAGGATGGAGTGAGACGGATGGAGGGAGGAGAGGAGGTGCAGATGAAAGAAGTAAACAGAGCTGGAGAGGAGAGATGCTTTACCTGCGAGGAGAGGAGCTACTCGTCCACAGAAACTACTGCTGCTGCACTGCCTCGGCTACTGCGACACTTTGTTTTGCTTTCACACACACGCACTCGCTCGCTCGCACACACCTCCTCACACATGCGCTCTCCGTCTGTTAGTTTTTTTTAATCCCCTCTCCCCACCCTCTCTCTCTCTCTCTCTCTCTCTCTCTCTCTGATGAGCGCTCCTTCCTTCCATCCTTTGTTTTCTGTTATACATCCCCCTCTTATCTCAGGCTTTCCCTCTCAGCATCTCACTATGTCTCTAGAACTGATTGTTTTTTGGCAGCAGAGAAGCCGCAGCAAGCGGACTGGTCTTGAATTATTTCTCTCTCCGATCCTCCCTCACATGCTCAACCCGGCTCTCTCACGTGTTTGCTTACAGAGCCTCTTCCACTTGCTCCGGGTGTTGCTTCTCCTTCTCTTAACACACACACACACACACACACACACACACACACACACACACACACACCACAGAACAAATGTAATGAATGTGTAACCTGGGGATGCCGGCTAGGTAGGCGATCAGTCTCCGCAGGTCGTCCGTTCGTATTCTATCGTGGTTGCTGCGTGATGGAAACGTTAACACCGGACCACCGCGTCTGTCTCTGCCACCTGAGGCAACACACACACACACACGGAGTTAGATTAGAGTAAGAACATGTAGAAGACAGAACATATACTGTAGGCGTTATAGGCATTGTTGCTTCACATTAAAAACTGCTATTAAAAACTAACATTTCACTATTTACCTAAAAACAAACGCTGATATGCTGAATGGGTTTTTGTGGAAAACAACGTGCATAATTCTGTGCCTGTGATATGCTGTTGTAGAGCTAACTCACCATAATCACAAGATACTGAGAAACCTTAACACAGAAAACAGTTGAAGTCCCCAAAATAACATCCAAATTATCCAATCCAACTATACAGGCTGATGATAATGTCATTAGTCTTGCAGTATTGATTGATTTCAATTCTGACCTGATGGTGGTGCGAGATGGAACGTCGGGGGATCACCAACAATGTATCCTGGTGGGGACATGACTGTGTGCACTAAACTGCAATAGTTGAGATGTTTCACTAAACCAGAAATGTCGGCCTCATGGTGGCTCGAGAGGAAAAGTTAAGGAACTCCAAAGCCAGTAGGATACGTCCTCTGGGGACCATGACTGCCTGCACACAATTTTGTCCCAATGATGGAAGGCCAGAGGATCACTTAAAAGTCAGTAGGATTCATCCTTTAGAGATAAATAATTTTTAATATTAATTGGTAGTTTGGCAACACTTGCTGTTTTAAAGTACGGAGTCATGAGACTGAATTATGAATATCTGGCACAGTAATAACTATATTTCCTGACCAGTTGCAGCAGCACAGAGAGCCGCTCCACTCACGCGGGAACATGTAAACACAGGCCGCCTGCGCCCCGGCCCGCAAACGAGTGAGTTCAGTCGGGTTACTGAGCGCCTGCAGGCTTCACCCGGCTGCTGGGAGGAGAACATCAAACGCTCACGTGGCGACCGGGCCGAACGTGAGTGAGGGACAACATGGCCGAATTATTAAGGAGCCAGATTCTGGGATAATAGGCTTAGCTCATTTACCCTCCTTTCCACTAGCGGCCCCTCCCTCCCTCGTTTCAAAGCCAATTACTCCGCTGGCGACTACTATGGGATGCGGTAGCTGAGAGTAAGTCATCTCCATGGCAACGCCGCCCTTTCTCTCACTCTCCCAATTTCTGTATGTTTGTCTGAGTCATTGTCCACATCACTGCGTTTCTGCTTGTGACCTTCGCTGCACACACAGTTTCTCTATTAGCATGCACATAGTAGGTGCATGTGAGGATAACACACACACACACAAGCTGAATAATGTTTTGTACAAATAATCCTGCTGGATGTTCTTGGCAGTCCATATCTCCTGCTCAGCCTCCTGTGAGTTTTCCCTGGCATGACTCAAGAGTGTGTGTGTGTGTCAGACGTGGCTGAGCCTCCCTTAGAGGGGGCAAAGACACAGCTGTAGCTTACTGTGCTGTAGTTCTGCTGATGCTGCCTAAACAATGGCTGTCTGTGTGTATATTTTGTGTAGTCTGGGTGTGAGGAAGGGTCAAGTGTTAAGTGTCTGGGCCTCGGTCTGACCCCGACAGTTTTTACAGGCACAGCTTGTTATCATGAGAGAGATGACAGCGAGCTAGACAAAGAAGCAGTGGGTGAATAAGTACACAGTATACCTGCAGACTAAATACCCTACTTCATGTTTCATTAGCCTTGTCCATTATGATCAGACAAGTTGGTAGACTTGTGAGACTACAAACACACACACACACACACAATCTTACCTGACAAAAAGGCAACTTTTTCTTTGAGGATGGGCAGCACCTCCATTGCTCTCAACTCCTCATATCTCTTGAAACCTGCATAAGAAAGAAAGAAAGAGTGAGACAATGGGGTTTGAATGGAAGAATAAAAAAGTCCCTTTTCTCCCCGTCAATCAGCTCTGACATTTTGTTTTCCTTGAGGGCAGATTATTTGGGACAGAGCAGATTTTGTCCACTTGTAATCTGGAGATCTGCAGCTTTCAAACACAGGGGATTGAGTCCAATTTCGGATTGCATGCAGCATGAGAAAAAAGTCAGTAAATTTCACACACACACAAACACACACACACACACACACACACACACACACACACACACACACACA